GTGACGCGATTTCAGCTCCACTGGGGGGGGGGGGGCCAGCGGCATCACTGGGGGGGGGCCGCCCCCCCCCCCCAGTTAGCATGTTAGAGGAGGCCCTGCGTGCAAGACTCACCCCCTCGCTCGCTCAGTTAGTCGCCCCGAAAGGCGCTATACTGGTTTTAATTTAGCAGCCAATGCTTATTTTGCGCATGCGCGTTCTCATCAACTCTGACGCCGTCCGTTGCCGCCGCCCGCGCAACTCACCTGTTTAACTCACCTGTTTGGTTTCCCTGCCCGGTCCAATGGAATTGGAAGGGGGAAGGAAACCGTGTATGATAGAGACGCGCCAACGACCCACGTTAGATGTTTCTTAGGAGAAGGACTCGTGGGGGTCGGAAAAGTGCGTCTGCATAGAAGCATGTATGAGTAGATGGGTCGTTTTGACAGTGAAGTGAGTGCACTGTGCAGTGTGGTTCTTCGCGGTCCAAGGGCTTGTCCTCGGGCAGGTTCTTCATTTCATCACGTCCTCAGGCGAGGTACTCATAGAGCCTGTTGCCAAGTATTCCTGCCAGGGATGACTTGAATTCCGCCAGAGAGTTCATCGTGACAGTCGAGTTGGGTAGTGCACTCCAGTACTTCACGATCCTGTCCGTGAAGTACCGCTTTGTCGAGTCGAGCTGGCGCCTCTGGACCTTGATTTTGAGGGTGTTGCCACGTGTGCGACCGGCTGGAGCCATGTCCCATAGGTCCAACGGCTTGATAGGGAGACAGGCCGTGGAAGGTTTTCCAGGTCTTGATAAGGTCTGCACGGAGAAGTCTGCCTTTGATCGAGTATAAATCCAGTACCTTGAGAGACGCTCCTCATATGTTTTGTGTTCTAGGCCTTTGATGTGACGTGTCCAGAGCCTCTGCACCGCTTCAAGCCGTCGGACGTCTTCAATGTAGCCTGTCTTCCAGACTGTCGAGGCATACTCAATGATGGGGCGAATATGTGTCACAAAGACGTGCGTCATGAAGTCGCGCTCCCTGCACAGTGTCGATTTCAAGAAGTTGTGAGCTATGCCTCCAGCCTTCCTAGCAGCGGTTCTTGCATGCTCGTGAAACTTTAGATCGTCATCGATCGTGACACCAAGATCCAAAATGGGAACGAGCCCATCGAACTACTGATCCATCGAGGTGATACTCTGGTCTCGTTAACGTGTGGAACCTACGCTGGAATCTCATGACCGCAGACTTCTTTTGATTTAGGATCAGACCCCAGGATGCTGCGGTCTCTTGAAGGAGATCTATATCTTCCTGGAAGTTGGTTGCATGGGACCCTGAGTCAGAGATGCACATGTAGACTTTCAAGTCGTCTGCGAATATCTTGTAGGCGGCGTGTAGGCGGAAGGCGACGTGGTTACGTGCGTGAAGTTAGCGTCGTATTCCGCGACGGATTCAGCGTCGAGTCCGAATTTCAACTAAACCCAACCTATCCAATGCAGTTTGGGACGCTGATTCCGAATATCGTATTCATTTCAAATTTCAAGGTCATCTTCAAGGTCAAATCACGGATTGAAATTGAGTCCCCGATTTTTCCTACACCGATCGTCCGATCCGATTTCTGAAGGTCGCATTCGATAGTTAGGGTCAGAATCTCGAATTCCCTAATATATACCTTATTAAAAATATTTGACCTTGAAGGTCAAATCACGGATTGAAATTTTGAGTCCCCCGATTTTTTCTACGCCGATCTCTGATCCGATTTCTGATGGTCACATTCGATAGCTAGCAACAGAGTCTCGAGTTCCCTAGTATATACCTTAGTAAAAATATTTGACCTTAAAGGTCAAATCATGGATTGAAATTTTGAGTCCCCCTATTTTTTCTCCACCGATCGTCCGATCCAATTTCTGATGGTCGCATTCGATAGCTAGGGTCAGAATCTCGAGTTCCCTAATATATAACTTATTAAAAATATTTGACCTTAAAGGTCAAATCACGGATTGAAATTTTGAGTCCCCCTATTTTTTTCTACACCGATCGTCCGATCCGATTTCTGATGGTCGCATTCGATAGCTAGGGTCAGAATCTCGAGTTCCCTAATATATACCTTATTAAAAATATTTGACCTTAAAGGTCAAATCACGGATATTTGACCTTAAAGGTCACATCACGGATTGAAATGTTGAGTCCCCCGATTTTTTCTACACCGATTGTCCGATCCGAATTCTGATGGTTGCATTCGATAGCTAGGGTCAGAATCTCGAGTTCCCTAATATATACCTTATTAAAAATATTTGACCTTAACCCGCGCCCTGCTGGGGGTCCTGGATTTCCACGCCCTGCTGGGGGGGGGGGGGGTGTTCAAACACCCCCCCTTCTAACTCGGCTCCTGGGCCACGTAGCGATACGCGGAAGGCGGCGTTCGAAAGAGCATAAAAAATAATGACGAAATCACTTCGGTCAATTTTTTGGTCAGGTCAAAGGTCAGGTCACCAGAGGTCATTGAAGGCAAAATTTCGCCGATTTCCAGGTCGAATGTCGACAATTTCCATGAAGCCAACGCATAACTCGGGAACCAATAGAGCTACAGCGCTGCGGAAAAGCGCATTCGATAGCCCTATTAGCGATCTTTCTGAGTAATTCTCTCAGATTTGACCTAGCGTCAACGGTTTTGCCTGCAGGGGGTAAAAACTGCAAAAATAGCCGATTTTTTTCGGAAACAGTTTTTCTGCAATAACTTTTGACCCAAACCTTGTACGAGCTTACTTTTACCGGCATCGTGTTCCTCTCGTCAAGACGCATCGAATGAACTATAACTTGACCTTGAAAGGTCAACTTGAAATTTTGACCTCAGGTCAAGGTCATGACCTGACCGGAAAGGGTGATGTTGCATATCAGTCGATCCGTATCGTCGAGCTGAACACATCTAAGGCGTTTTCATCGCTCTAGCATGCCTCTATCAAAAGTTATTTGCGAAAAACTGTTAGATACCATTCGTGACCTAAGATGACCTCAGGGGCATAACCAGGGGTCACGGACACCATTTTCATGTTCAGTGTGTCTAAACCACTTGTAATTCAGTGTTTGGGAGTGTTTATAATGCTTTTCGTCCAAAAGAGGTGCATTTCAATTTTCTCCCATTGACTTATAATGGGGAGGTCGCAAAATTGACCTGACCTTAGGTCATCGATATCAAAATTCTGAGATATACATTTTGTACATGCTATTGCTCTTAGTAATCGCTGAAAGTTTCAAAGCGATCGGTCACTCGGTGTAGCTATGGCAGACATTGAAACTTTTTATGAGGTGAGGTCACTTCAAGTGACCTGGTGACCTGACCTTGAATGACCTTGGTCTGAAATTTTTACAACATGTGTAGAATTGATGTATGATAAGGTGTACCAAAAACGGCGGCGCTCCGCGCCGCCGTTTTTGAGATATCCGCGAAAAACCACAGGGGGGTGTTCAAACACCCCCCCCAGCAGGGCGCGGGTTAAAGGTCAAATCACGGATTGACGATTTTTTCTACGCCGATCGTCCGATTCGATTTCTGATGGTCACATTCGATAGCTAGGAACAGAATCTCGAGTTCCCTAATATATACCTTATTAAAAATATTTGATCTTAAAGGTCAAATCACGGATTGAAATTTTGAGTCCCCGTATTTTTTCTACACCGATCTTCCGATCCAAATTCTGATGGTCGCATTCGATAGCGAGGGTCAGAATCTCGAGTTCCCTAATATATACGTTATTAAAAATATTTGACCTTAAAGGTCAAATCATGGATTGAAATTTTGATTCCCCCTATTTTTTCTACACCGATCGTTCGATCCAATTTCTGATGGTCGCATTCGATGGCTAGGGTCAGAATCTCGAGTTCCCTCATATATACCTTATTAAAAATATTTGACCTTAAAGGTCAAATCACGGATTGAAATTTTGAGTCCCCCTATTTTTTATACACCGATCGTCCGATCCGATTTCTGATGGTCGCATTCGATAGCTAGGGTCAGAATCTCGAGTTCCCTAATATATACCTTATTAAAGATATTTGACCTTAAAGGTCAAATCACGGATTGAAATTTTGAGTCCCCAATTTTTTCTACACCGATCGTTTGATCCAATTTCTGATGGTCGCATTCGATAGCTAGGGTCAGAATCTCGAGTTCCCTAATATATACCTTATTAAAAATATTTGACCTTAAAGGTCAAATCACGGATATTTGACCTTAAAGGTCACATCACGGATTGAAATGTTGAGTCCCCCGATTTTTTCTACACCGATTTTCCGATCCGAATTCTGATGGTCGCATTCGATAGCTAGGGTCAGAATCTCGAGTTCCCTAATATATACCTTATTGAAAATATTTGACCTTAAAGGTCAAATTACGGATTGAAATTTTGAGTCCCCCGATTTTTTCTACGCCGATCTCTGATCCGATTTCTGATGGTCACATTCGATAGCTAGCAACAGAATCTCGAGTTCCCTAATATATACCTTATTAAAAATATTTGACCTTAAAGGTCAAATCACGGATTGAAATTTTGAGTCCCCTATTTTTTCTACACCGATCGTCCGATCCAATTTCTGATGGTCGCATTCGCTAGCTAGGGTCAGAATCTCGAGTTCCCTAATTTATACCTTATTAAAAATATTTGACCTTAAAGGTCAAATCATGGATTGAAATTTTGATTCCCCTATTTTTTCTACACCGATCGTTCGATCCAATTTCTGATGGTTGCATTCGATGGCTAGGGTCAGAATCTCGAGTTCCTCAATATATAGGTACCTTATTAAAAATATTTGACCTTAAAGGTCAAATCACGGATTGAAATTTTGAGTCCCCTATTTTTTCTACACCGATCGTCCGATCCGATTTCTGATGGTCGCATTCGATAGCTAGGGTCAGAATCTGACCTTCTGACCTACTGACCTTCGAAGTGTACCAAGGTGCCAGCGGAACTGCTCAGCGTCCAGACTATGAGGCCGCCTTCGGGAAATGTGGATCAGCAGTGAAGATCCTCAAAGACAGAATGCCGAAGGAGATGCGCATGGACGCACTGCACATCTTTACGGACAACCTCTTCACCAGCCTTCCTCTGATGATGGCGCTGAAGGAGGAGGGAATCGGGCACACGGGAACCATCCGCCAGAACCGCCTCCGAGGATGTCCGCTGAGCTCGGTGGCAGCGATGAAGAAGGCTCCCAGGGGAGACACCTCTGTCGCCGTGGAAACGAAGCAGGGCATCAACCTCGTCAGGTGGAAGGATAACAGCGTGGTGACCGTAGCATCTACGGTAAGCTCATCCCGAACTGTGGCTGAAGTTCAAAGATGGTCGCGACGAGAGAAGAAGAGGATCAAGGTAGCTCAGCCACAGATGATTCAGGACTACAACTGCGCCATGGGCGGTACCGACCGCATGGACCAGAACATCGGCGCGTACCGCATCGCGATCCGACAGAAGAAGTTCTGGCGGTGCATCTTCTGCTGGCTTCTGGGGGCCGCGATGCAGAACGCCTGGCTGCTCTACCGTCAGCATCATCCAGGCGAGAATCAGATCAACTTCATCCGAGCCATCGTCCGGTATCACCTGGCAGAGACGACGAAGCCACCATCTGGACGTCCAAGTTCCGCGTCGAATCAGCATCGCGTCCCAGCCAGCATCCGCTACGATGGTATCAACCACCTGGTCGTTCCTCTTGCCAAGCAGGGAACGTGTGCAAACAAGGAGGGAAAGTGCAAGAGCCACCCGAAGACCGCCTGTCGCAAGTGCCAGGTGCCGCTGTGCGTGGCGTGCTTCGTGCCGTTCCATGCGACCTGAGAGTAAGAACATGCTGTACACCATGGGGAAATTTGGGCTAGTTGGGCCAACACTGTTGGATACGGTGAGATGGGTGAAAGTTTGCAAGCGCCGTCTAGATCCCGGAGGGATGTTTTGTTTTCAGCGTTTGCTGTAAGCTGTGTCACTGTCCAATGCACTTCGATGTTTGTGAGTCAGGTAGTGCATTGACTCATCATCGTAATTGATTGTTGACCGCTGACACTATCAATCATCACAATCATTCGCCTGATCTCATAATATGTTCACATGTTGGTAGTGGCAAGTGCCTATCAGCATACACATCTAAGAATATACATTGGTTCTCAAAAGTTTCGTTTGAATTGCGCTTTGTGGCAATATTTCGACTACCCAGGTGCCCATAGCCATATATTTATTGACCCCCCTGGCGACAAATGGGGGGGGGGGGGGCTAAAAAAACAAGAAAATCATCCTAAGCTAATACATTCGATAAACAAGCTAGTATTTTGTGCAAAAAAGTTTGAAATTTTGACTAAAAATAAGTTGGGCACTAATGGGTTAAAGGTCAAATCACGGATTGAAATTTTGAGTCCCCCGATTTTTTCTACGCCGAACTCTGATCCGATTTCTGATGGTCACATTCGATAGCTAGCAACAGAGTCTCGAGTTCCCTTATATATACCTTATTAAAAATATTTGACCTTAAAGGTCAAATCACGGATTGAAATTTTGAGTCCCCCTATTTTTTCTACACCGATCGTCCGATCCAATTTCTGATGGTCGCATTCGATGGCTAGGGTCAGAATCTCGAGTTCCCTAATATATACCTTATTAAAAATATTTGACCTTAAAGGTCAAATCACGGATTGAAATTTTGAGTCCCCTATTTTTTCTACACCGATCGTTCGATCCGATTTCTGATGGTCGCATTCGATAGCTAGGGTCAGAATCTCGAGTTCCCTTATATATACCTTATTAAAAATATTTGACCTTAAAGGTCAAATCACGGATATTTGACCTTAAAGGTCACATCACGGATTGAAATGTTGAGTCCCCCGATTTTTTCTACACCGATCGTCCGATCCGATTTCTGATGGTCGCATTCGATAGCTAGGGTCAGAATCTCGAGTTCCCTAATATATACCTTATTAAAAATGTTTGACCTTAAAGGTCAAATCACGGATTGAAATTTTGAGTCCCCCTATTTTTTCTACACCGATCGTCCGATCCAATTTCTGATGGTTGCATTCGATAGCTAGGTTCAGAATCTCAAGTTCCCTAATATATACCTTATTAAAATATTTGACCTTAAAGGTCAAATCACGGATTGAAATTTTGAGTCCCCAATTTTTTCTACACCGATTGTCCGATCCGATTTCTGATGGTCGCATTTGATAGCTAGGGTCAGAATCTCGAGTTCCCTAATATATACCTTATTAAAAATATTTGACCCTAATATATACCTTATTAAAAATATTTGACCTTAAAGGTCAAATCACAGATTGAATTTTTGAGTCCCCTATTTTTTCTACACCGATCGTCCGATCCAATTTCTGATGGTCGCATTCGATAGCTAGGGTCAGAATCTCGAGTTCCCTAATATATACCTTATTAAAAATATTTGACCTTCAAGGTCAAATCACGGATTGAAATTTTGAGTCCCCAATTTCTTCTACACCGATCGTCCGATCCGATTTCTGATGGTCGCATTCGATGGCTAGGGTCAGAATCTCGAGTTCCCTAATATATACCTTATTAAAAATATTTCACCTTAAAGGGACTATCCCACCTTCTAAAATGTTGTTAAAACCAGTTAAATTGTGCCCGGCTTTATAGATTGGATGACCAGGAACACGGTTCTGGCATTTATTTTTCATTAAACATCTTAGGCTTCCCATATTCCAAACACAAACTTTCAAATATGTGACGTCACAGCCCAAAATTACCTCCTTCCCCAGGCCACATTACTGTCATAAAGCTGATTCTTTTTACTCTGTAGGCACCACAACAAAGTTCAGACCAAGTTTTAAGCGATTTTTCAACGAACAAACCCATTTAAATCAGAATAACTAAACGAGGTGACGTCACACTAACGGTCGCTCCATGTTGAAGATAGGGCCTTGTACAAGGCCCATTTTCAAATGAAGGGAACAAATTTCTTCAACACCAAGAGGCCGCGGGGGTTGCAACCTAGATAGATAGTGGTTTCTGAACCTCGCCGCAAACTTGGCTATCTCAACTCAAACCCCATGTTAAAGGTGGGATAGTCCCTTTAAAGGTCAAATCACGGATTGAAATTTTGAGTCCCCCGATTTTTCTACGCCGATCGTCCGATCCGATTTCTGATGGTCACATTCGATAGCTAGGGTCAGAATCTCGAGTTCCCTAATATATACCTAATTAAAAATATTTGACCTTTAAGGTCAAATCACGGATTGAAATTTTGAGTCCCCCTATTTTTTCTACACCGATCGTCCGATCCGATTTCTGATGGTCGGGGCATTCCATGTCAACCGGGACAGCCAAAATCGGTCACCTCTGCGATCAGGGGCGCGGGAACTACTTTCCGACTGGGGGGGCACACCATAATAGAGATCAACCTAGGGTACCCCCAAATCTAGTTTTCTCACCGGTTTTAGGCCACTTATTTTTCACCCCTCGGCTTTTTTTAAAAAAAAGAAAACATTTGCAAAAAAAGTGTGGTATTCCGTCTCAAAGCTGTGGGGGCACCGCCCCCACGGCCCCAGAGTTGGGGGGGCAAGCTGCCCCCACTGCCCCCCCGGCTCCCGCGCCTATGTCTGCGATTTTGTTCAAACTTGGTATACCTACTTATTGCCTATTGGGTGAAACCTCTGAGGGTGAAAGGATTTTGTCATATGCCCTCGGGCTACAGAGATACAAGCTGCTAAACTTCTGCTTTTTTAGCAGAATTGGACGTGTACTGCAATCTTGAAAGATCTATAGCTTCAACATTTTTGAAGCTATTAATTTCAAACAAACTGAAACGTGTACATAAGGAGTTATTCTAGTAAAATTTGACAATTTTTACATTTTTTGATGATTTTGAATTTATTTTATTTTGAATTAATTTCTTAAAATGTAATTTGTGAAAAATGGGTACCCTTCGATTTTGCTCAAAACAAGTAGTGCAACGTAGCACGGGCGGTGGAAGAGGCCGATTTCGCTAGCCCCACCTGTTTATCGCCAATAACTCACGCCATAATTATTATATTAACGTCAAACTTTCAGTATCTGTCTAGAATCGAACTGCAAATTCTCCCGTGCAAGAAATAGGTAAATCGGTCCACAACTTTTCTAGTAATGGCGGTGTAAAGTTAAACATTCCTGCCGGAGCGGCTCGGCGGCCGGCGCCGGCCGTTAACGCCTGAATGGTAGACTGTGCCGGCGCGGGACGGTTCATCTTTGCACCGCGCTTCTTACCGCTGATTATGATCGATTCGTGTCAAATGTTGTGTGAAGGCTTAAAAATGTACAGGCAATCTAATGGTCAAATACCTACATGCGAAAATCAACAGGTAAAAATTGAATTATTATGGCGCAAACACAATCTGTGAATGAAACGTTTCCCGCGTCGGCCGATCTCCGCCTCTGCCGGCGACATCTTACTCTTAGCAGGCCAATAACTGCCAAATTTATGGTTACATTAGCTAGAGATTCTCATAACACTACAAATGTCGTATAAAGAAAGAAATAGGGAAATCGGCCATTAACTCTTAGCGCTATGGGCGTATAAACGCAAAATATTCACTATAGCAAATTCAATCACGTTTAACCCTCGCCCTGGCAGGGCATTTTTCATAACACGGCCTGGCAGGGGGGGGGGTCGATGCGACCCCCCCCCCTCGCGATTGGCTCCTATGGCACCTAGAAACACCAAATTTGGTAGGTAGGTGGGCCCCCTGGAGTTCTCGTCCCTGTGCAAATTTGGTTGCTCTAGGTCAATATTTAGGGGGGTTTTGGGGGGTATAAATGTAAAAATTTCGCTTAAAACAGGTCAAAAGTTTTTCGCTTATAACTTTTGATCTAATTAAGATAGAGCAAAAAGAAAAGCACAAGTGAACTCAGCACGTCAAGGCGCGTCGAATGATATACTTTTTAGCTTGTTTAAGTGTACCTAAAGTTTTTCTTAAATTTTAAGTAAACTTAAATTTATAAATTAAGTTCAAGTTAACCAAATTGCGTCATATCGTATATCATTCGATTTGGCTGATCACCAGGAACACAATGATACCATTTTTTAAGCTCTAGCGTCATTATGTGCCAAGTTATTGACAAAAACGTCATTTGACCTCAGTTGACCTCATTTGACCTGACCCATGGATAAGTACACCAAACAAAGAAGCACCAAGTGACCTGCTGTTAAGTACTGTGATTTCAAAGCACAAAAATAATAGAACGAAGCGGATAACTCCAGTATTTTCCGAATTTAGTATTTTCCCATAGGCTTAACATTACGACGTAATGACCTCTAACTGACCTCAGGTCAGTGACCTCAAAAAACCCGAACTATATGTTATACAACTCGGTGAACTTAGCACATCCTGAAAGTTTGAAGGAAATCAGTCCAAAACTGTGAGTTGGACAGGTGCAAAAAGAAAATTGAAATTTGACCATGACCTTGTACCGGTTTTTCTGACCTGGTGACCTGACCTAAGGTCACCGGGACCTGAAATTTTAAGGTCATATGTAAAAAGGTTGCCCCATAGGCTGTGCCAAATTTGGCGGCGCTGCGCGCCGCCGTTTTTACGCTATCTTCGAAAAACCTTAGGGGGGGGGTCGCATCGACCCCCCCCTGCCAGGGCGAGGGTTAACCTCATTTGATCTTGAAGATATTGATCTAGGGCCATGAAATTGGCACACGATAAAGTTCCCCACCGCCCCACCTACAATTCAAATTCCGTTTTTTAATACCCTTTTTTGACTAAACCGGACCTTTCTCCCCTAGCGCTGGGAGAGTCAGGCGTATTTCCTTTTTGCAACCAAAGAGAGGCGCTGCCGGG